CCCCACAGCCATTGCTAGGCAACACATACAGGCATCCCTTCCTCCTGGGAATTTCATTGGCCAGAGCAGGAATGGCCCTAACCTGCTTTGGGTTTACAGGGAAATAAGGTATTGCATTAGGATGGGAACAACAGATGCATGGCAGGGGTCTAGACTAACTGCTGAGAACAAACCTAATGAAACATGCTTTACGCTTTGAAAATGCTGGTATTTATCTAAAACTTAAAAACGTACAAATGAGGAAACAAGCAGAAACTTTCATTCTGTTGTTTTTTTTTACCCTGCCGCTGTGCCTCAAATTACTGTCTTGCTCAAGATAAGATCATAAATAAAAAGTTGATATTTTCCTCTGGAAATCTTTCTTAAGTAGCCAAACCAGTTGTACCATCATTTACTGAAAATTGTCCAGGTCCTGAGGCACCAAACCAAGCCCAGATCTTCACGCTACCACTACTATTTAGCAGCCGATTTGGCCTCCAATCTAACCTCTGTCTTGCTGCTTCATGAAAAATGACCTTAACTGAGACCAGGAAGGATTGTGGTGCTTTGTATTCTTTCAATAAGCTTCTTTTTTTCCCTTTCATTTTGTCCTGTTTGCCAATATACCACTAAGACTTGATGTCCCTGTGTTGGATAATAGCCCAACAGATTTGCTTTCATAAGTAGACCATCATGGGTGTTGCTTTGAGTTTCCACTTCATAAGCATGTGGGAAGCTTTAAGTGACTTTGAAAAAATAAAATAAAATCATTGGCCATGGAGAAAGAAAGGGAGGTGAGAAAGGGAGACGGGATAAAAAGCCTGTTCATGCTGTTTGAGTGCGAAAGTAATTTCTTTCCTGTAGTTTTTCCACAATGTGTTGATCGTGGCGATATCTAAATATCTCTAAATATTTACATTTGTGAACCCTCGCCAACAGGACCTGGTCGTCGCTCGCCAATGTTTTACGTACAGATCCATCTGCATAGTTACAAATTGTCCTAGGTTCTCCATGGAGAATTTCTGTCCACACTGAATCTACGCGGAACCCCAAAATGACGTAATTTGGCTGCACAGATGCGTCAAGCATAAATCAAGCTTAAGTGCTATCTGAATAATGCTGGCCCTTAGGAAGGAATTAGGACCAGGAAGCACGATGCTTCCTAGCTCCAATGTGTTTAGCATAGGGACCTCCTGATGTTTCTAGCTCCCTGCTAGTAGTTTTACTATCCATGATATAGAATATAGGCACAGCCCAAATCAAGCTGTTTAACAATGATGCATGACTTCATGTACTCTCTGTGACTCATCCTAATTTCCTCACCTTCATATTTTTTTGTTTCATAGCGGAGAGCTTTAACTTTTTACTACATTTGTATAACTACTTTCTTTTTAATATTTTTTTTCAGAAGGCTGTAGTTCTAATTTGATCAGCATCTTTTGTGTCCGCTGCATAATGGCGTAAGTAAGGCTACGTTAACAGTGCAGGGCTTAATGCTCAATTCAGATTCTTTTGTGAAATTTTTTGCGTTACTGTTCATATTTCCAAATATATGTGACTTGTATGTAATCTGTGTGAACTGCAGTCATACAACGCAACTGTCCCACATACGCAGTAGGGATGCAATGACGTCACAGGCCAGCGTGCTCTATGTTTACGGAAGTAAACATGGATGGTAGTGCCGGCGCGCATCTAGCAGTCTTTCCAACAACAAAAACTCAATGTTTTGAAATGGTTAAACATAAATTCTGCTCTCCGTATCATCGTCTGCCATGGTTGTTGTTTTTCTTGCCGCTTCTGCGTAGCAAGACCCAGAATAGTGACTTTTGTCGGGTATTAATGACGTTAAGGTCGGATGAATCCGAGCTGGCCGTTCAGTCACGGGTCGCATTTGAAAAAATCTGGTTCATATCAGATTCAGGACAACATAGCCAAATGGCCTAGGTCTGATTGGAAAAAGTCGGATCTGTGTTGTTCAGACTGCCATGAAAAGATCAGATCCAGGTCGCATGTGGGCCAAAAAATCTGATTTTGGGTAACTTCAGGCTGCAGTGTGAACGTAGCCTAAGAGGGCTGCCTAGATTTGGCACAGCAGTTCGGAGCTCCTTTCCTACTGAGTTTTCTGGACAAACTCAGTCCTTTAGCTTCACCTTGTGGTTAGATTCACAGGTGCATTATAAAGACAAATAGTAGATCACTAAAATGGTCGTTCTTTAAACGATTTAATATCTTATTTCTTAAATAAAAGGTCATTCTATTTTGCATGTGTTTGTAAGCATATAGCAAAGGTCGTACTAATCATAAACAAACATGGCATAACCACTTAAATGAAGAAAGATTTTTGGCATTTCACAGTGGGATACTGAAGATGGATCTTTTATCACTTGGAATTCCTCACCTCCTCAACAGTTGAACCCCCTGCCCCCTTTATTTCACACCTTTCTACAATCTCTGAGTCCTGCTAATTAAGTGCTCCTCACCATGGCTTCTGGCTGATAGAAAGTCCTTGAACTGAGCAGATGTTGAAAGATCTGTTTCATCCTTTGATTTGCTGTGGCCTTCTTTGCATTTTATGTCAATTGCTGAAGACAAACCCTTGTCTCTGCAAACAGATTTTTTTTTCCATTTTCTTTTATTCTAGCATCCCTTCACATTAATATTGGCTTTAAATAAGCGCTGTCTTTGAACAGGCACTCATTCTAATCTTGACCGGCTTTGGAAAGCAGTTGATCCATCGATTGTGTCCCTTTTCATGATCACATTCAATGAATTAAGCCAGCCCTGGTGTCGAAAGCACTCAAGCTGTGCCGGTCAGTGTGTCTGGATTCAAGCAGATGGGATGTGACTGATGCAGGTGACATCTTCGGAGCTGGACGCAGCTGCTGTATTGTGGCTTCCTTGCCATAATGTGACTGGCCTAATTATCGCCACCCCCTCTCCTCCTTCTTCTTCTCCTCCTTTTCCTGCCAGCATATCTGCAGCTTCCCCTGCCTTAATCCACTTCTGCGGCACTTCTCTCCTACTCACGCTCATCTTACCTTCTCTTCCTCTAATGCCCCACCTTCCCTTCTCTCGCTCCACTTCTTGCAACCCCTTCACTCCTCTGCTGCATGTTCAGCAAGATCGAAGACCAGTGGGAGCTTCTCCATTCCAGTTAAGCATTTTGTTGCTCTCTTTTTGGTCTCTTTATAAAGAAAACACTGACAAGAAAGTATTGGGATTTTTGCTGCAGGAAATGTATATTATAGAAAATATAAACTTAGCAGAAAATCTACTTTTTCGATTATATCTTTGCTGTAATAATGCTTCTTTGGAATAAATCTAAGGCAGTTAAAAAAAAAATCTCCTTAAATGAGGCTACGTTTGAGAAGAAAATCTGTTAAAAATATTTTACTGTGCCTTTGACTAAGTTTCATGTAGGAAGGTGGAAGATTTTCACAATTCATTTATTTGACAGCTGGGCTCTAGACAATCTGGCACCACCCTCCCATCATGCTGGTCATCAGCTAGGTCACATGCTGCTATGGGATGGCATTTCGTGGTGTGTTTGATTTAGTTAAGAGCTGGCAAGTCAGAGTGATGTAATCTCAGAGGTGACAGTGTCTAGTTTCTTTTGGATGCTCATACAGTAAATGGCTAAAAAACAGTTGCATTACATTTGTCCCTTGGTAGCGGTGTGACACAGAACTGTTGGTTCTACTGGATATATAATTGGTGCAAATTGGTCATTCAGAGTGGTTCCATCAGGTGCATTGCGTTGTGTTTTTGAAGTGTCACAAATGCGCTGGCAATCGCTGTGTCTGTGAGCACTATCTAGAACATATTGGACCATTCGGGCAGAGGAAGTCAGCTGATGAAAAGCACAAAAGATCCGGTCAAGTTTCTTAGTAAAAAATTAACTGTGGGTTCTTTGGGTCACATTTTTCGGACTTTTATGTAATAAAAATTCTGCTCATACATAAACATGAAAAAAATCTAAATATTTGATCTCACCTACCGATTATAGATTCCAAGAAAAGGTTATTTGATAAAGATCGGGCGTACAAAACCCAGGTAGCAGTTCTCGGTTAAACACTTTCCTGCTTTATTGTTCAACTCAAAGCCTACAAATGTTCTACTGTAGCGTAGCGATACTATCCTGGCATGATCTGAGTCCAACCTTGGAGAGGCACTTCAGTCTGAAGCACTCCTGGTGGGGTAGGGTGCATGGCAGGAAGCACGGGGCAGCACTTAGCACACTGCTCCTTCATCCAGTGGCACCAAGGGGTAAGGCTCCATCCATACAAAGACAGGTTCTAGGCTTAAACGTGAAAATACTTTACCAAATCAATGTATCTTCCACCCATTGCCAAAAATATCTTTGAACTAGCTCGCAAGGTGAAAATATTTCAAAATCCGGCTATCACATTTCCATGGATACTGTTTCTCTGCAACTTTTTCTGAGATGCATGCGTCGGCACGCCTCTAGACAGACCCATGCACCACACTAAGAAAATTACAACTGTGGCGCTGCACAGTGTTGTGTGCATTCTCAATTTCCTTCCTGGAAATTGTGTCTGTCATTTCTTTGTAGTGCCCCCAACAGATCTGGCATAATTTTGCTTTCTTTTCAACTGTTTTTAGTACATTTAAGTGTAGGCAAAGATGATAATTTTTACAAATGAGGTTTGTTAAAGAGGGGGTGGAGCTACGACGCAATAAAAAAAAAGACAGTTGGCGTTTACGCTCTGAAACATAAAATGGCTTAAAGAGTTTGGATATTGGATTGCCACTAGTTGGAGAATCACGAATACACTGCTTCCACCAAAAGCTGTCTCTAACTGGCAGAGAGAAATTAGCAAATTTTTATTTGTGGGGAGCCCAAAAACTTAAATCTTCACTTTAAGGAGGAAAAAAATTCAGCTTTACAAAAACATATCAGTTATCAGGTGTGGTGTTTACCAGCACAGACTAAATAAGAATATGAAGGGTTATAAGTGGTGCTCATGTGTTTTTTCTTCTTCTTTACTTTGATGCTCCAGGTGAGAAGCCGTACAAGTGCTCATGGGAGGGATGCGAGTGGCGATTTGCCAGGAGCGACGAGCTGACAAGGCACTATCGCAAACACACCGGTGCCAAGCCTTTTAAGTGCAACCACTGTGACAGGTCTGTCAAAACAAAACTCTTCCTCCTAACACGCCATCTGATGTTTTTCTCCCATTTTCCTGCCTTAAGTTTAAAAGTATATATTTTCAGGTAGAATCCAGAGGGCTCTGTTTTTATATGTTTATGTGGAGTTTATTAATACTGGAACTAGCTTTCACACAAATGGCTATGAGATATCAAAAGGACTGGGGTCATGTAAGTGTAGTTTTTTAGAGATCAGATTTAGAAGTTTTTATCAAAATTTGAAAATATGGTTACATTTTTCAAGAAAACAGTCAATAGGTTGGCCATTTTCTGACACTCTTATATCAGGGTAAGAGGAATTTGGTGCCCTCTCCAGCAGTCTATGGGCGAAAGGTGGGGTGTAACCTCAAAAGGTCGCCAGTCCATCTCAGGACGATATGTAGGCCTATTCCAAATTTGATGAATCATTGTTCCTCGTCTTCAACTGTAAAAACAATATCATTAGTAGTATGGGTTTAAGAAAAGATCAATTATAACAAACATTGTGATATTTCAGTAGACAGTATTTTTAATTAGACAATATATATTTATATCAAATATGGTCGAATGGACCTCAAATGTAAAAAAAAAAGGAAAATATCAATCTTACTTTTATTAAAAGTACACCTCCAGCTACCAGTTTGAAGCTAAGCGCCATTGAGGCTATTATTCAGCAAAGATCTCTTGAAGTTTTCCAGACCATTATTATCGTAAAATTTTAAATATATATCATCATTTTAAAGGTATTGGTATATAATGGTCTAAATTGTATTATGAAACATATTGTATCCCCAAACTCTTGGCCCTAGTTGGTAGAAAGCAAAGCTAACCCTTTGCTGAATTTAGATGAGATACTTCGTCCATCTGGACAAAAAGAAACATAGAGGATGTGTGTCAAAACAGGGACTACAAACTTCTAAAAAAAACTACAAATATAAAGGTTACACAAAAATAGTGAGCTGATAAAGTTCTACATTATTAAATTCATGATGCCAAGAGGGGAACAATAGAAAGTTTCACAAAAAGTACACGTCAAGTAATAATGTATTTTTTTAAACCGGCTGTGCCTATAACTTTCGTCACAGAAGGGATAGAGGGACACTATATAGCTGTTGGTCTCTAGTTCCAAATAGATCTGTCAGGTGGTCCCTTTGCTGAAGCAAGTATCCTGCGTCCTTTCCTGACCTCCTACCTTGCTGCCTGCCCTATTTGGACACCACTTATCATGGTGACCGCTGAAGATTCCTGCTTAGCCTAAAGGGCCCTTACTGATATTGCCAAATTCTGGCAGACCAATAGCCGTACAACCATGTACAACAATACTCACAGCTGAGGGAAAGGCACCAATCAACATAAAAGTTATGTTTTTAGACTGTGGAAGGAAGTAGGAGTACAATCTGGGTTTTCAACGTTTTTTTCATTGGCTGTTATCGTACTAAAGTGGGAAAAATTCAGACCGACCAAACACAGCCCAATTTTCAACAACTATTTCTGGACTTAATCAAGACTATGAAGGACCTACCATATTAAACCTAAAAACCAACGTCTAAATGACGTCTGTTGTTTGAGGGGAGTACCTTCTTCTCCATAACAACTTCTACAAACAGTGTCGCAGTTTTGTTTAAACTGTGCCAGCATACAGCTGTTAAGTTAAAGTTCTTCACAAGACAGAAACCCAAATTCATATCAATGAAACAGAATCCAGTTCAGTCAAGTTTTACTACAAACCACTTCAAACTAATACTTCTAACAACCCCCAGTTCAATGGGGGAGTGTTGGCCTAGTGGGTTAGAGCAGTGCGCTTGTGCTCTGAGAAGGCTGCAAGTACCCAGTTCGATGCCTCTACTCAGACAAGACCCTTAACCCCATACTGCTCCCCGGGCACCGCACGATGGCAGCTCACTGCTCCCCAAGGGGAGGGATTAAATGCAGAGGAAGATTCCTCCAAAGTGATGCAGAGGAAGATTCCTCCAAAGTGAGATCAATAAAGTCCAATTATTATTATCTGATTTGGTCCAGTTACCCAGAGTTCAATTGTGGCATGAATAAGTTAAAATCACTTAAAGATTTAATAGGATTTGTTAAAAAGTGATCTTATTCAGGAAGCTGACTGCATTGTGATTGACTGTGCAGCAATTCCTCATCCTTAAGCAAGCTTGTGCAGGCAATTTAAAGGAGCAAATGCTACTTCACAGGAAAAAAAAACCTCTCGCAGAATCATGTTCAGTTATAAACAGTCTGGGACAGAAGAAACAGACAGACAAAAACTCTCCAGTAGTACTTTATACGTACAGAACACATGTGAAACACAAAGTGGACCCAGTAACATCTGTCAGTTCTTTCTTTTAAGAAAAAGACATCTAGAACACCGTGCATTCAGAATAACTAGATAAGTGAAAAGAAAATGGCCCTATTAACGTCTATGTCCAGTAGAGACAGGAGGATGGACTAGGTGTACTTAAAAAAAAAATATATATATATATATATATATATGCCTTTCATTATAATAATTATTATTCCAGTATTTCTATATATTGAAGAAAAGTGTTTCCTTTCTACATATTTAAAATACAAATAAAAACAATTGTTTATACATTGACCTCAAGACAGAGATGTTAACATTTATTAATTTTTTTTTTTAACTTGATAAAAGAATAGATATGACTAAAGTATATCTTTTTTAAGCCTTATATAAAATTATATACATATAACATTAAAATCTACAAAATTATGTTGCGATTAATATTCTCTCTTTATTTTACTCTTTTTAAATAAATAACTCATTTTAAACAGTTTTTTTATTAGCATAATTTCAGTTTTATTTTCATGTAAATGATACCCATTGATCTTTATTTATTCATAGGTACAAAAAAGAATAAAGATGTCATTCGTTTGTCAAATGTGGCATAAACAATATACTAGATGTGTGCTTTAAAATACAGTGACAGGGTGGAAATTGAACACAAAAGAGGAAGTTCCTGAATATGGGACCTCTTAAATCATGCATGGATTCATTATAAAAGGACAAAAAGAAATCCCTTCTCACCTAGGGTACTTTCCCTAATGTCGATAAGAATGGGGGGTCTTTGAGTGTGTGTTAATGAACAGCAGGCCAGACAGCGTCAACTAAATCAGGTCCCAGCTGGATAGACTGTAAGTACAGTATCCCCCCCACCCCTGCAGGCACATCCCTAATTCTGGCCCACCTCTGTCATGTGTCAGAAGGTGTCCAGCCTTTCCCGCCTGAAGACCCAAAATCACAAATGCGCCCTGCTGAGATTAAAGAAGAGTGGAAACAGTAGAGACACACACACACACAAAAAGAAGTCGGGGTGAAGATTAAAGATTGAAAGGGGTGTTGTGGGGTGAAACACACCCACGATGTGCCAGCTGGTGTCGTGCCCCCAAGTCGTGACTCATACTTTGCCATCTGTCTCCCAGAGTGCTCACACACACGCCTGGTGACACACAAAAACACGGATGAATGTCTCCTTGGCGCTTTGTTCATTCCTCGAGTGTTTATGAATAAACAGGACAGTAAGACGTTTGACACGGGTTTGGCCTTTCTGGCAACATAAAAAAAAAAACACCTGTCTAAAAAACTATCAACAGCTAGAGACAACATTGCATTTTTTGCTCTACATTTCAACTCATTCATATGTTAAAGGTATCCATGACTAGTTGCACTTTTTTTTCACCTGTGCAATGCATGCTGGATGATGTGGTTACAGTAGGTCCTACTGGATGGAAACTTACAGAATAAACAATAGAATTTATTATTTTTTTTATTGTTTTTGCATTTGACTGGTGTAAATGTAGACAATGCCATACTTCCTCAAAGTTTTTTATGAGCCATCTTTAAAAAAATTAACTAATATGTTCAGCTTCCCATCCACGTTTAACTATATTGGCTAGAGCTAAGACCATTAGCAGAAGCTAATATAAAATCAAAATTAAAGCAGAAGATAATTAATTATTGTTTCAAGTGATGGTAATGCATCGCTCTGTCAATGCAACACATCGATCTAGTATATATGTTAAAATCTTTTACAATGCTAACAGTAAATGAAGCTCTTTGTAGCATAGCTCTCAATCTGGATTAGCATCTCCTTGCTACTGCTGCTGACTCATCTAATGGCCAGCTGTATTTTTATGAATTTTCAATCTTTTATAGACCAGTTCAAAAAAAATGTTATGTCTTTGACAAACTCAAATATTTGACATACAAGTCAAGGTAAAATCCTTGGTATTTGAAAGACTTGACTAAATAAAATTTTAAGTCTTTGGAAAGAGACTGTGAAAGACGCTTCTATTTCCACTCTAAAAGACCTATGATTTTATTTTCAATTATTTTTCAAAGCTTTAAAGTTGGATTTCTACAGTATTTGTCTTTCAGAGATTTTACAATGGACTTGGACATGACTTTCAAACGCTTATTGTATTCGGATTTATCTTTCAAAGACATAAAATTGGAATTGGAATTGTCTTTCAAATATTTTAAGTTTGACTTGAATTTGTCTTTCAAAGACTTAATACTTGCCTTAGAACTGGCTATACCTTGGTTGGACTTGGACTTGTCTTTCAAAGACTTAAGATCTGATTTGGACTTGTGTTTCAAAGATCTGCCTTAGAATCATCTGCAAAGACTAACATTTCGCTTCCTCTTTTTCCTCTTAAATTGGATTTGGACTATTCTTTGAAATACTCTAGAAGGGAGGAAAGTATTTTGACTTGCTATCAGAGACAGGTTTTGTAGACAAAAATAAAAAAATTGTAAACATTCTAGACTTTAGGGTCACTTATGCTATAACTTATTTTAATTGTGTCCACACCTGCTCCAAATTAGCTGATCACTCCACTCATTTTTCTGTCTCCCATATACAGTTGTGGTCAAAAGTGTACATACACTTGTAAAAAATCATAATGTTATGGCTGTCTTGAGTCTTCAATAAGTTCTACAACTCTTATTTTTCTGTGATAGAGTGATCGGAACACATACAT